CTTTTTCTGTTTTTAGTAGATACGGGGTCTTGCTCTTGCTCAGGCTGGTCTCCAACTCCTGAGCTCAAGAGATCCTCCCGCCTGCGGCTCTCAGAGTGCTAGGATTACAGGCGTGAGCCACCGCCTAGTCGTGAGCCACCGTACTTGGTCTGGTGGCTGGGACCCTTCTCTCTCAGAGGCACAGGGAGTCGTTCCTTGTGCTCTCCAGTGAGGAAACCAACTGCTGTCCCCTTCTGTTCAAACATGTTGGCCCCTTCCACTGGGGCCAGCTCCACGAGGCAGCAGCAGCTGTGCCTTGAGCTCATGGTTCATGGCTGCACCCCCATGATGGTGCCCAACAAATCAATGAAGGTGCACACTCTGGAAAATGCAGAGCAGGGCAGACCCCAGAGTCACCCCAGCCTGGGTGTGTGGCACAGGGTGAGCAACCCACAGAAAACCCTAAAGGTAGGCAGAAGGAGGTGACATTTGGGTAGGGTAGGCTGACCCCCACCTGAATGTCAGTTGGACTTTCCTTCAGAAGTCACCTCCTCCAGGAAGCCTTCCCTTGCTCTGACAGCCAGGGGAGAGAGACGGAGAAGGGGGCAGAGGTGGCAATAGGAAGAGGTTACAAACAGAGGAAGGCCCTAGTTCCTTCTGCCTCCGAATTCACCTCGAGCAACTCCACTGTTCCTGCAGACTGGCAGACCCTACTCCCGCTTCTCCCTCCCACTGGTGGGTAAGACCCTCCACCCCCACCATCCCGCTGCGGCACCCCTGCAGGCCACCACCAAGGAGCCTTGGCTACTCAGGCCCCTGACCATGTGCCGGCAGCCATGGAGGTTTCGGGAATACTGTCACTTCAACAGGCTCCACACAGGTTCTAAAGGATTCTTAGCCACCTGGTGGGAGGGAGGCAGATAGGACGAGACAGGCAAGGAAAGCCCAACTCAACTTTGAATCTGGGCGAAGTAGGAGAAAGGGGAGTATCACTTGCAGGGCCATGCGTGCAGCTGGAAGGAGAGTGACAAAGCTCGCTGTCTTCCCAAGAGCGGAGAAAGTCCAGATCCAGGGAGCATCAGGGAGTGGCGCGACTGCCCACACGGCCCTGCACCCACAGGGCTCCTTCCCCAGGTCCAACAGAGCCGGGGGCTCTGCAGGGGAGGGTGCCCGCGTGTCTGGGGCAGGCGCAGGCACTTCCCTGCCAGGCGCAGCATCTGCGGACTGTCCATCCAGGTCAGGGGGTCTGGCTCTCCCCTTATACTGTGTGTGCTTCCGTCCTTTCCTGCCTCGGCCTCCATCTGCTGCCCTGTCAAATGGGAATAAACAGCCCCTCTCAACGGTGCTCATGAGGATTTCGAATAGATTCTGTGGGTAAAGCCCTCGGCCAGGGCTTGGAACAGAGCAGGGTCAACAGGCTTTCCTCACTCCAAAGTGCCTGGTTATCGAGCTAACACTAAAAAGCCGTTGGCCTGGTCAAACGTGGGCCAACTTAATGATTAAACCCAACCTGCAGTTTGAATTTAGCCTCTCTCCAACCAGAACTCCGGGAGCTGCAGAGGCGCGGAGGGAAGGGCTGGAACGAACGTGCTGGTGGGAGAAGAAGTGCAAGAGTCCCTTCCCCCTCCCGGAATGTTGCCCTCCCCCCTTCCCACCTGCTCACACTTCTTCCCCCTGACAAAAGCCAGATTAAGGCTAATGGAGTCGAGAGGGAAGGACCATGTGGCATTGGGAATCCGAGTTCGGCCACTGCCCACCTGTGTGCCAAGTGTCTTAGCCTCTCTGTGCCTCAGTCTCCTCGTCTGTACCGTGGAGAATGGCCCCTTACTCTGCAGGATTGATTTGCAATTGGAAAGAGAGTAGGTGAGCACACAGCAGGAGCCTAGCAGATGCGAGGTCCTGTGCTGACCCCTACACGCTTCTGTTTAAAGGGCATTCTTCTGAACGTGCTGATGCCCTTTGCGAGAGCTGCTACCGGCTTCCTGAACCCATCAGAGAGAATGGCATTTCCTTATTGTACCCTGTGACATGCCATGTGCACGATGGGGAACCCAATAAATGTTATCTAAGCCACAAGCTGGGAGGATACTGCATGTCAGAGAAAGAATGCAGGACTTTGGAACTAAATAAACCTGGATTTTAATCTTGGTTCTGCCAACTGGATGAGCCATGTGGGCTGGGACAAGCTACTATACCTCTGATCCTTGGTTTCTCATTGTAAAATGGGGATAATCCCTACATTGAAGGGCTGTTGGGAGAATTAAATTCATTCATTCATCCAACATATATTTACTGAACATTTACTTGAACTAGCCACTGCTCTAGGTGCTGAACATATAGCAGCGAAGGAAACAGACAAAACCTACTGGAGGAGCCAGTCGAGCACCAGCTGACTACGCACACAGCCTGTCAGGCAGTGATCATGCTAAGGAGAAACACAAAGCAGGGAAAGGTGGGGAGGGCTGGGGCCAGGACAGGGGCAGGACCCCACTGGAGCAGTGACCAGAAGGAGGCTGTCGGGAGCCACAGGGAGGTCCAGGGAAGAATGTTCCAGGCAGAGGGATCAGCAAGCACAGGAGCTGAAGGAGAAGCGTGCTTGGCGTGTAAAGGAAGCCACATATGCAGGAAGCCTGGCATGGAATCCAGGTGCTCGGCAAATGCCAGCTCTCTATTTCAAGTCCCACAGAACGAACCCCACGCATGTGTCCTTTTCCTGAGAATGAAAGCACAAGGATTCTACAGGGCAAGGCTGTGCCAAGTGTTCTTTCGGTCTACGATTCAGGCAACATTTGAGCTCCACCACCGGTTTTTGAGCCTCTGCCAGACATCAGGCTCTGGGATGGGCAACCAGGGATCCAAGATGATCGAGACGTGGGCTCTGTCCTCAGGGCACCCTGAGGAGAGTCGTGGAGACGGGCGAAGGCAATGCGATGCGCGGATGAACAAGCAGGGGCTTACAGAGGCATCCAGGTAGCAGAGCAAAGGACGAGGCTGTGGGTGGTCAGGGAAGGCTTCCTGTAGGAAGTGACAACTGAGCTGGATTTTGAAAGATGGACTAGACAACAAAAGATATTCTGGCCGTGGGGATCGCCACATGCTGAGCACAGAGGTGTAAAAATGGCACAGTGTGTGCAAGAAACTGACCACAGGCAAGTCACAAAATAATAAACAGTCCTTCATATTCTTGGTCCCTGCCACCTGATGTGGCTCGGGAGTTCCAGTTCCGTGCCCATCTCCAAACTCAATGGGAGCTTCAGGCCTCAGAGGAGAGTTTGAATTTCCCGTACTTAGACACTGCAGTGGGGAACCAACCTTAACCCCTGGCTCCCAGCCTAGAGTGGCCCAGTCCACAGAGCGAGGGCTGAAAGGAATGAAGACTACATAAATCTGCAGCTATATTTAGCCTGCCTAGCGTGTGTCTGTCCCTCTATCCACCCAAGGCTGACCCACACGTGGCAGAATGGCTTTTTTACTAAAACAGCATAAACATTTCTTAATTAAGAAATTGAACAAAGGGGCCTCAGCCCAGTGTCTTTGTGGCTCCGAGAACATCTGCTGCCATGTTTGCCAACACCCTTGGACACCTCCTAACTGGTGGGGAGGTTCTCCCCCACCTGGGTAATAACCACGTCCACAGGAGGTAGAGTCCACCCTCCAGTAAGCAGACCTGGGTTCTAATCCCACCTCTGCCACAGACTAGTTGGTGACTCCCTGCTCGTGACTTCTCTGGGAATGTGAAGGTTTGAGTGCAGCTGCCCTGAAGTTGCCCAGAGGCTTATAAAGCAGGGGCTGGCCATTCTTCCACAGCCGGCCTCAGGAATCCGGGCTTGGCAACACCCATGTCAACCCCCCAGGGAAAGAAACAATTATTTTTTGATAACCACGTGTAATGCCTAGATGGCAGAGCTATGTGATGGTGTTAGAGCAGCGATGGGGTGACATGTCCCTCTTCTAAAGCCTCACACTGCATCTGGCCCACAGTTGACACGCTCCCCACTGAGCCAAACCTTTGTGCTGTGAAAACACACACACACACACACACACACACACACCTTCTCACCTTTTGCACTAACGATGCTACAAAGGCCCAGCCTTAGGCCAAAATACTTCTAAAGACGTGGGGTAGTGAAGGAAGGGCAGACAGACAGATAAGGGTCCCAATCCGGATTTTCCCACTGCTAGCTGTGTGACCTTGAGTGAGTCATTTCCCCTTCTCTGAGCCTCAATTTCTCCATTTGTAAAATTGGGAAATGCATCTTCAGTGTGAAGCTTCTTTGCAGGCCAAGCTGGGGTATGCTAAGTGCCGGGCACTGCCCCTCCATGTGTGCTGTCTGCTCCCAAATTACCAGGTATTTTTCAGTAAGGCCTCCTCCCACCTCCGGATCCCCTCACTCTAGTCTCGGAAATTCTGGGGTGGCTTCAGCTAGGGGGCGATGCACTCTGCTGCAGCCGCCCTGCGGGGGCTAAAGAGCCCCCAGGCTGAGCGGACACCAGAGGGGGGCGCAGCCAGGGAGAGCGTGGGAACGCAGCCAAGGCAAGGCAGCACGTGCCGCGGGGGTGCAGGGAGGCTGGAAACCCGGGTACCCCTGAGAGCATCCCCCACTCTCGGCAGCTGCAATCTCGGCACAACCGGCGGCTTCTGGCCGTCGGAAGCCCGGGCGAGCCCGGCTCCAGGCGCCCCCTGGGTCACCCCAGACTCACTCATGAGCGCCCTCGGGCTGTAACAAAGGCAAGGGGAGCCCGGCATCGCCCCAGCTGCCCTTTCGCGCATCTGGTCAAAGCAGAGAGAACGAGGACGGGGGTCCCCAAGGTAACCAGGACGCGGGACCCGCCCTCCCGGAGCGCAAAGCCCAGCCCGGGCGCGCATGGAGCAGAGGTCCAGGAGGCACCTGAGACTCCAGCCCGCTGTGCACCGAGGGCTCCACGGGGCGTGGGGTGGCTCTCTGGGAGTCACCCAGCAGGTCCCCCGGAGGAGAGGAGAAGCCCAGCGCCCGCCTCCCGGGCTGGGCTCCCCGGCATACCTGGCAGGGTCCTGTGCACCGTGTTGCCCATCGCTGTGTCGGGCGCGGCGTTGGCGGCGGCGCGCTCCGGGCGCGCGGAGGCTAATTACGCGGCGGGCCGGGGACCGGGGCCGGGGTCGGGGCTCGGGGCATCGCCGCTGCACGGGCGAGCCGGCGGGCGGGCGGCAGCCGGGGTGGGCGCCGGCAGGGAGGCGGTGGCGTCTGCGGGAGGAGGAGGCGGAGCTACCGGCCCCGGCCCGCCGGCTCCGCCCCCGCCCCCGCCCTCCGCCGCCTCCAACCGTGCAGGGGCCGGGCCGGCCGCCGCCACCCCTCGCCCACACCCCCCGCCCCCGCCCTCCGCCGCCTCCAACCGTGCAGGGGCCGGGCCGGCCGCCGCATCTTTTGAAAGTTTGCACCGGTGGCGGGAGAGGCACCGCCGAGCTTCCCGCCCTCGCCGCTCCCGCGCCCGGGCCGGGTAGGCGCGCAGCGCGGCCGGGTGCCCTCGGGGTGCCAGGCGTGGCGGCCTGCCGGTCTTCCGTTCATTTATTCCAAGGCTTAGAGAAGGCCTACTGTGTGCCCGGCCCTCTTCCCAGCGGGCCAAGTCCTCCCGGCCGAGCTTCTGGAGGAGGAAAGGGGTGGGGGCGGGGACGTACACAGGGGCAGAAGGTCGCCTGGCACAGTAAGGGCTGGGAGACCGCACAGCCAGGGTGCCGGGGTGGGGTCTTTTCCACCCACTAGGCCAAGGGAGACCTAGGTGGTGTCCAAAGATCAAGATCGGAAGGAAGGAACCCATGTTCATTAATTCACTCATTCATTGAAATACCAACTGAGCGCACCCTATGTGCCAGGCTCTGCGCTGGGCCTGGTAGACGCTGACAAGTCCCACTCTCCTGGAGATGTCATGCTAGCGGTGAAGACAGAAATAACAAGCAATTAAGATCACACAATGTGGGGATCAAAGCCAGGAAGAAAATAAAACAAGATAGAGAGTGAGGGGTGACATTGTCTGGGGGGCTTAGGGGAGTCAGTGGGGGGCATGCGAGCGCCATCTGATGGGCAAGAAGGGGAGGCCATGGGAGGGGGTGGGGAGAGTGCTCCCGGCAGAGGGAGTCGCGGGCATTCCTCCTTCATCCATCCACCCCGCAGGTGTTTTCTGAGCACCCTCCTGTTCAAGTGCCTGGACCTCACTCAGGGGCAGTGAGGCTGCTAGTCCACGCCCTCCCGGGGACTCCATTTTACAGACTGGAACGCTGAGGCCCAGGGGGTGCAATGACTTGCCCGAGAAGACCTAATTCCAAAATTCCAGACCAGCTTTTTTTTTCTATTTCCTATGCTCTTGTATTCCTTGAGATCTTCTGAGATAGGTGTTATTATCTCCACTTCACAGATAGGGAAGAGGGATGGTGGAGACTCAGGGAGTGGAAGAGAGGTGCTCAAACCTCCTGCGGGTAAGGGGCAAAGCTAGCCTGGAGCTGTGTGGCTAAAAGGGAGAGCGGCCAATAGAGCTCTGGGAAAGCGTATCCCCACGCTGCCCTGACTTACCATGTATCTGAGCGTAAGCGTGCCTTGTAGCCGTGTTACTGACTTATACCACAGGTGCTCTCTCAGTTACTTAATTTTAACCCCAAAGTTCTGTTAGGGAAAAGCACATGAGCGCGACAACCTTCAATCCTTGAGAGTCCGGGATGCACATGGAGGACGGGGCCAGCGTTCCGTCAAAGGAGCAAGGGAGTTTCACTCGGATAGAGCGACGCGCAGCGAAGGGGGCTCTGAGACTGCAGGGTGAGGGGCTGTTGTCAAGAGGCCTTTGAGAGGTCACTTTCGGAGCCCTGCTAAGTGGCCACGTTGTGCACACCTGTGGCACGTGAAGCCCCCATGCTCCCGATGTGACGTCTGTAGATGAAATCTGCGGTGCAGTCACAGGTGCAGTGGTTGTGACACGTGGATTTGAGCCGGCTGGGTTAGCACGGAGAGCTCTGTGAGTAGGGCGTGCTCTGGTAAAAAGCTGCCCACCCCACCCGTGATGGCGACGCTAGTGTCAAAGCCACATGAAAAAGAATTTGAATCAAATAGTTTCTTGAAATTTGAAAGTGGACAAAAGCAGTTTTTCCAAATTAATATTTTATATAAAAGCAATTTTAAATGTATGTCTAAAACAAATCTTACGGGTAGACTATTTCATCTTCACCTCTTAAAGTTTATATTTTTCAACTTTATTGTGCATCCTCTCATGGGGAGAACAGGGATTGCCCTTAACCCTAATTTGGATTGCCTTAAATTTGAGCATCTGCAGTAGTTGCTCACCCTCCCAGGTCCCCCTGCACCTTGTTCTGTCCCGCAATTACACCCTCCAGGTGGGTGCTGTGGCTGCTGCCTTTCCCTCCTCCCCACGGCCAGGTGGGGAGCTCCTGTCGGCAGGACGCAGGCTGCGCTCACTGTGAAACCCCAGTGCCCACAACAGGGCTGGCATGCACAGGTACTCAATACACACTCCAATAAATTGACTGCAGACATGCATTGCTCTGATCTGGTAGGAAAAGAAGGAAGGGAGGAAGAAAAGAAGAGAGAGAGGGAAGAAGGAAGAGGAAGGAAGTGGTGAAGGAACGAGTTTGGGTTGATGGTAGCACTAGACCCTGGTATGATCGATAGTGGTATGGAGGGGGAGACATAAACAGTGTCCCCTCAAAGTTAGAGAAGACAGCTCTGCCCAGGCTCCAGGAGAGGAGGGCTCTGGGGTTGGAGGGAAATGGGTGGGGTCTCAGACACCAAAGGCTTCCACGGGGCCTGTAGGACAGAGCGGGGGGTGGGGGCATCCTTAGACCTGGGCAGCAGCCTCTGGTCATAGCCGCTCCTGGACTTGGCTTCCCCCCGCTCCATCACACACACCACACGTCCCCACCAACCACATCCAGAATTGCACGGACCTTGCCATCCTCCTTTGGCACCAGTACCCGCCCGCACGTGGGTTGCAGGGGCCCCTGGGTGGGGCTGCCTTTCTCAATTATGCAGTGTCAGCAGAGCCTCCCAGGGCAGTGGGTAGTGGGTGTGTCCAGGCTGGGCTTCCTGGCCTTGCTCCCTCGGGGCATGCCCCAGCAGGCCCTGCCCCGTGCACTAGCAGGCAGTCAGGTGCACCTTGTAAAAGCAGCACACAGAGCCGGTGGGGGAGGGGCGGGCAGGAGGGCGTATGCCCACTGTGGACACCTGGCTGAAATGATCCCATCTTCCAGGGTGTTTGCTCAGCCTCCTCCCCACAACGCAAGAGCTGAGTATCCGAGTTGGAATCGAACCACAAAGCTTGGTTTTAAAATCGTTACAGGAAGGCTCTGCTTTTCTGCAAAACCTGCCTATAAAACCTTAGATTTCCAAACCCAGCGAGTCTTCACCCATGAAAGCATTATTTTTCAGTGCTGGTTGCAAACTGCCAACCACATAGCAGGCGCCAGGCTGCGCCCTTTGAGTTTTCCTCATCGCAGTCTGGCAGCGTGGTCATTAACACAACTCCCATTTTGCAGGAGGGGAAAGTGAAGCTCAGAGACAGAAAGGAGCTGCCAAGTTCGCTAGCCAGGAGGAGGCCGAACTCAGAGGGTTCTCAGTTCTCTCTTTTTACAGAAGAGGAAACAGGGTCAGAGTGATGAAGCCAATTGTTTGAGGTGGCACAATAGTGAGCAGAGGAGCCAGATGTCTGAATTTCTCAGGCTTCAAAACCCGTGCTCATGCTGCACTGCCCTCAATGAGCAAGACACTTGTATGTGGTACAGAGTCTGGCAGGTACACCTGGCAGCCAAGGCAAAAAGGGAAAGAAGGCTCATCCCATGGTGCTTGCAGACACACACTTGGTCCTGGAGCTGGCTCCAAAGGGGGCTCATCTATGGTACACAGGAAGGCTTAGTGGACATAACTTCCTCCTAAATTTTCCCTCAAACATAACAACAGTGTTCAGATGGATGGGTCCCATGCCAGCCATCTGAAAATGCCAAGGGCTGACATTTTCCTGCCATCCAAGAGAGGCAGCCCTGCTAGAGCTGGGGTCATGGATGCCCTGAACTCAACCTTCTTATAACACAGGGACGTTGCTTAGATGCTCGGAAACACATGACATGAGCACGGAACAGAAGCCCGAGGCAGGGGCAGAACTGAACTCAATTTGTGATCCCAATAACTTGCATTCACTATGCAAGGACAATGATAATTATGACACAATAATAGCTAAGGTTTATTGAGTGCCAGGTGCCTTCTAAACCTTGCAATAGATGCATTAACCCTAGAAGGTAGTACTGTCAACCTGTCCATTTTATGGATGGGGAAACAGTGTAAGTAGCTTGGCTACAGGCACGCAGGCAGAGAACAGTTTGACTTGACACCCCAGGCTCTCATTTATTTGATCCTCATAACAACCCTATTAGCAGGAAAGGAAGTTAAGGATTGTAGAGCTGCTTCTCAGACCCTTGTATTTGTCTCATTTAAGCCTCACCTCCTCCTGCAGGGTGGCAGCTGTTGTCACCTACATTCTACAGTGCATGCTGGGAGGCTCAGAGAGGTGAAGCCACTTGCCCAAGACCACACAGCCGAGAGTGGCAGGACCAGAGCTAGAACCCAGCACACTCTGACCTAGGAGTCTGTTTCCTCCTCCTGGCCCCTCAGATGGCCGAGCATTTGCAGAGGGCCTGGCTTGTCCTACCGAGTAGCTTGAGGGCAGGCCTGTGCTGCTTCATCTCAGAGTCCAGTGCCCAGCCCTGCCTGGCCCGGATGACCTGCTGTTCTCTGCCACTTCCTGGAGCTGTGGGGACCCACCCAAGGGGACATGGACTTTTACATAAAAACTGGAATAATGGATTGTGGGGCTTTAAGAACCCAGGCCCAAATCCTAGCTCGGCTACTTACTAACTGGGTGACCTCAGAAGGCCATGTGTCCTCTCTGGGCCTCAGTTTCTGCATTCACAAAATGGAGCCGGTGGAGTCTGTATTTCACAGGCCTGTGGGGGAGGCGATGGGCTCCTCAGGGACAGTCAGTGTGCCTGCGCCTGGGAAGGCTTTGTGTTCCTGCTTGTCACCTCCCTGCATTCACCCCGCATGCCACAGGCTGACTGCAGCCCTTCTCTGCCTGCAGCCCCTTCCCTGCAGAAGGCTCCAGATGGG